TATATGATCTTAACAACATGCAATTGAAAGATTTATTAATCATATAGGAAAAATTTATTCGTGGACAAATAATAACATACAGAGTGGCAGAAAGAGCAAATGATATAAGAAATAAATATTTCTAGATGTAAAGTTAACATGAGGTGATTTTTAACACAATCGATCTGAACAGCATTAGACTTGTTTGGGAGTGCATAAAAGCTCCTTATAAGCACACAAACATTCACTTATTAAGCTATATCAAAATATTTGCTGCTAAAGGCTGAAAAAAAGAACAAAAATAGAAAGAAAAACACACTAAAACATTGATGAATATGTACCTGAGAAACCACAAATCCGCGAATATCATAGCCAGAAACAAAGAAAATATCTTGAACCACGCCATTTTCAAACCCTAATTCCACCTGCAAATGTGGTATGTACCAAGTGGGAATGTTACAAGAAATGAATTTTAATAATGATAGACTCTTTGGTGAGAAAGAGGGGCCTTGGGACAAAGATTTAAGGAGTATAATTATGGTATGAAGAAAATGGTTTTGTAGAAACATAATAGTTGAGGAAAACCTTTTACGTAAAAGGCATTCCTCTTCTTTCATGTTGACTACAAAACCCGTATGAAGAAAGGGAATGCCTGCCGTCACCTATGCAGAACCCTTGACCTCAATCTTCAAATCACTGTGAGACGCACGTATTGTGTATTTTCCTATTTCCAAGAATACCTATTGTTAAGAAAACGAACATCACTAAAAGGGTAGAAACAAGCGTTAAGAAATCATAGTTGGGTGGTGAAATTTCTTATTCGATTGAAGTAGCTGTTACTCTCCTGATGATACACTTAAAGACTCCATCATCATATAGTATTTATGCACAATTATCTAGAGTAAACATCCGATAATGGTTTCGAAGTTCTTGCATATTTTACTCATGCTAAAATACACCAATGAAATTGGAAGGTAACCAGAGACCTGGAATGATGTTTGTGAATGAGTAACTCCCTGTTGAAGTTGTTATAATTGAAGACACAACATCTCCACTGGGAGACAATAGCTCGACGTTTACATTAGATGGACCTCCATTTTTATCCGAACAGCTATCTCCACCAACTGCTCCCACAACTCTTCCAGATATGGTGGACCTGCAAGTAGTAACTCAATGAAGCTACAGTTCTATAATACAGGTTGAGAAGCCACAAGTCCATGGTTCAGAAATGCACATGCTAGAATGGCAATGATTTTATTGCAGGTAGTGACAATGGTGTCAACAGCAAAACGGGACTAATCAAACAATACAGCTGTAAAAAGAAATTAATAATTTACAAACATTTATTACATACCCAGTAAATCGAAAATTTATATCTTCATTTGCATTGCAACCAGTGTGATCAACGACAACAGGAACCTAAAGAAAGAAGTATCTAATGTCAGAATATGTGTAGATACACCAAACGACCAACAAATACAAAACTAAATTGCTTATTTGAAAAATTAAACCCAGTTATCCTTCAAAAGAAATATATTACAATATCATAATACTGAACTTGTTCTGGGTCCCATGACCATCCTTCAGGTCCCTTGATCTTCATCACAAAAGAACCCTGAATCCAAGAAGGAAATCAGGGGCTAAAACTGGGGAAAAAAATAGAATTGCTGTTACAGAAAATGAAACAAGCCACTGAAAAGCAAACGCAGGGTTGAGTTTCAACACACTCGGGAAGTAATTAGCTCGACGTAGTAACTTGCAAAAGGATCCAAAAAGATACGCAAAATCAGCTATCTCTGTTTGGCTTTCAACCACTTTTTCTCTTCGACAAAGTTGACCGTGTATTTGAATACTCTATCAACACGTTGAATTACGCTATTCCACATTTAATGATACTTAAAACTAGCAAACATAATTTCTCAGCTAGAATGACCGACATTACAACAAGGACCCTTCTACTTTTAATGGTTCGGAGATCATTTCCTTTTTCTGATCAACATCAGTTGATAATCTCATGACTTGATAAGGTTCAGTAATGAAGTGTTATCTGATGCAAAAAAAGATAAGAACAGGTAAAGAGTAGAATCGAGCTTTATACTGTTCAACCTGATGTGGTGATGCCTTTGGTAATACTAAAGTTTGGGCCATTTGTTTCACCAGCTCAAACGAACATGTATAGAGCTAAATTATAGTGAATTTAAGTAGTTTGATCAATATAAACAATTTTGCAGATGTGATCTCGATGAGACAAGCTTAAACTGTATTTGAGTTTGGCTTGTTTCAGCTATCAAGTTGGTCTTGAACAAGCAATAGATGACCCAATCCCGATCTGAACCCTATTCCCAAGGATCTCAAGATTATTTACAATCCTAAGTGGATCCCCAAACCCCTATTAAAATTTCAAGTTCACCAAGTTTGACACCCAAGCCAAATTCTATGTCCCTGCATCCTGTTCTCTAGTATCTAGACAAAATCAACAAGGCATCCATAGCTTAGATGAACCTTATTCCCAGACTCACTTGAGATTTCATGTTCACACGGGTATTATTTAAAAAAAATAATAATAATAATAATAATAATTAAAAATAATAAAAATAATAATAAAATAAATAAATAAAATAGTTCAAGGGAACTAAAATCACAGCATTGCAAGAAAAATCTATCCAATGAAGTACCTTGTCGTAGACTGGAATGAAGTAGTAACCATTTGGAGCACACTGGGTGCTCTCCTTAACTAAACCGTCCAAAGTCCGAAGCTCAACCTACATAGCAGTGCCTCAGTATCTTTATTCTTGCTCATGCCCAAAAAAGTCCATAAACAAATTAAATCTAACAGTATCTCATGTACAAGAATAATCCAGAGGAAATCCAATCCTCATACAGTAATATGAGAATAATCCAATTTCGCTGAAGTTGACTGCTTTGATTTTATCAACGAGGAACTCGCCTGAAAAATCAAGAATATATTTCATTTCCACAATAACCCAATAGCGAAGTTCAAAACTAAAATCTAACACCGATTCCGCTCAAAAATAAGATGACTTATAGAAAGATACACTAAATATGTGTCTCATTAGACCAGAAAACGAAATCATTTTCAGCAGTCAGTCACTACCACAACAAATCCGCCACATCCTTGAATGGAATCAGCAGTCGCCTGTGGGAAATTGCAGGTGAGTATAATTATAAAGAATGCCGCAAATAAATAATAATTTATGGTAGCCATTGCAATTTTTCGATCTGAGATAAGTACACGGAACGCATAAATCTCAATTGTGCATGGCTTTGGTAATATTGAAAAGTTGGCTTCAGATTCAGTGAAGCAATCTCCAGGGTTTATGTGTTTCATCTTTGTTGGTCTGTCACGCATATTTATGTTTGGAGAGAGACTGTGGGTCAGGCTGCACTTGAAATAAGTAAAACCAATTTTAAGTTAGGTAGCGATTGATTTCCATTTTCATTTTTCATTTTTATTTTCAAAACAATCTTTAATTTTCCTCGAAAATGATTCGTTTTCAGCGTTTGACAATTTATAAATGAACACGTTCAAAATAAGAAGTTTTAAATCTATTGGATTTTTTTTCGTCTTTATATCATTCCTTAAGTCCCATAGGTTTGATCCTGTAGAATTTGACCCATTTTCTCATTGAACGAAGGGTACGAAATCAATCTGATTGATTTTTCGATAAAAAATCGTTTTGTGTTTTCAATTATAAATTTTAACTCCTTTTCAAAAATGCGTTTTCCGTGTTTTCGAAAACGGAAAACGAAAAATGGTCCGAAAACGACAAACTAACCGCACCCTTATTTTTTGTATTATGTAATGAGAAATTACTTTTATGAAAAGGAAGTCTTTGATCATGCAAAACCCGGGCGAACGTATGACAAAGTTCATAATTGTTTATCAGGCTTGAATCTTGTTGATACTGACGTGAAAATCAAATTTTTACAGTGCTAAAAAAAATCACGCACGTAAAGAATCAGTAAAATAATTGGTAACTTTTGTTATAAAAATGAGATTTATTTAAAATAAATTAATAATTTTTTAGGCATCAAATTGTAGAAATCTGGTTTCTCATTATTTTTGGAATATTTATTAACCTAGGAAAAATTAATTAATTATGGATAAAGTTGGTATTTTATTTATAGATAATTAAAAAAAATTAAATAGAACTGAAATTTTATTGCTCCTCAAAATCTGGTTGGTAAGATACTTCAATAATCAATTTATAAAATTTACCAGAAACCTAATAAATAAAAATAAGCACATCGTAAAAAATTTCACAATTACAAATGTTGCTCTTTTTTATTGCATTCTTTCTACAAATAAGTTGACAAAGTTAGTATCAACACCATCAATTGAACACTTGAACGAAGTTTGGGTTTGTGTGGTATCTCTCTTTCTGTTTAAGATAAATACTTCTCAAGATTGCACTAAGAATGATCGTCATTCCTTGCACTTCATTTTCATAGAGTGACCGCTTTTATACTTCAAAACGTTTTCACATATACGACGCGTGTACAACTACAGGATGTGCATCTAAAATTTGTCATTTGAAACTGAGTTTTCATATCCCGAGTTTGAATTCCTCTGGATGCTCACAAACAACAGGAATTCTTGGACCTATTTTATAAAAATTGCATAACATAGACCATCACGAGTGAGAGGCTATTTTATTTCTTTCCTTTCATAATACATGTTGCTTATTTGACTGTCTTTTCAAATTTATTATCTACTTTTATCATTAGTAGATATGAGAATTTGTCTTAGTGACAGTAGACTTCGTAATTTATTATGCATTTTAATGCATTAGACAATAAATCGCCACCTAAACTGGTGATGATGAATGAATATTACTAATCTAAATCTTATTCATGCTTAAACTTTTAAAGGAAAACAATTTTTTTTTTTTTAATCTCTCAAACTAATTATTACCATAAAAAGAGAGAAAAATTCCTAGAAATATGCTAAGAAAAGAGAGAAAGAGAGAGCACCTTTCTCCTATTTTCACTCTCCTCCATTCATTCTTCAAGTTTTTTCAATGGATTTGTAGACCAAGAAAGACGAACCATAGAAAAATTTACAACAAAAGAGTATGGTACCAATTCAATTTTCTTGCATTTCTTCTTTCCTGGTTCCATTTTCCAGTGAGTTCTCCTCCATGGATGCCAGGACATGTTCTGATTCATAACCATAGAAAAAAGTAATCAAAAATCAGTCGAAAAAGGTTTTGTTTCACTCTAATACAGGCGTACAGGAAGACCTAGCTGTAATCTGTCTTTAAAAGATTTGGTTTCCTGTACGCCATTTCGTGTAGCCATGCACACAAATATAAAGAATTTGTTGTTACTTTTCAGCCTATTTTCATTCTCCACTGCCATTTATGGAGCAGAAAGTAAAAACCCGAATTCATTGTTATTGGCTTGTGGATCTGGAAATGGTGGGAAAGATTCAGATGGCCGAGCCTGGGAATCTGATAAGAAATATTTGGTGAAAGGTGAAAAATCTGTTGAGACAAAAGCTGAAATCCAGGATCCGTCGTTATCTGCGGTAGTCCCATACATGACAGGGAGAATTTTCACGTCTGAAACCACGTATCAACTCCCCGTTCAAAATGCGACCTCACGAACTTTGCTTCGACTGTATTTCTACCCATCTTCGTACCCGAATTTCAACATTTCCAATTCGTATTTTTCAGTTGTCGCCGGAGGAGTCACCCTCGTGAACAATTTCAGTGCTTTTTTAACCGCTGAAGCATTGTCCCAGGCTTATTTCATAAAGGAATATTTTCTAGCCCCGTCAGAATTTTCCACTCTTAATGTCACTTTCAAGCCATCAGATAAACAACCACAATCTTTCGCTTTTGTCAATGGCATTGAGGTCATTTCAGCACCGGAATTATTCAGCAGGGAGCCGGTAATAGTCGGGACGGGTGAAGTCTCTGAAAACTTAGGTTGGGATGCTGCCACTACAACTGTTTCCCTGGATGGTATCAGCATCGAAAATATGTATAGATTGAACGTTGGAGGACAATATATTTCACCGGTAAATGATTCCGGGGGCCTAACACGTAGCTGGTACGACGACACCCCATATTTGTTTGGTGCTACCACAGGAGTCGCGGATAAGGCCGATGTGCCCATTGGGTACAAAGGCTTACCGTCCTATACTGCACCTTTAGATGTCTACTCAACATTTCGAAATATTGGTCCTTATGCAGATATAAACAAGGGTATCAACATGACATGGAGATTCCAGGTTGACCCAAACTTCATGTACCTTGTCAGGTTGCATTGGTGTGATGATGAAATGACGAAAAGTAATGAGAGAGTTTTCGATGTATACATCAACAATCAGACTGCAGCAACTTCAGTCGACCTGTTCGCCTGGCAGAATTCTGTTGCAAGTCCTACCACGAGGGATTATGCAATTAGAGTTGCTAACAAGAGCGGGGATGCAGAATTATGGTTGACGCTCCGCCCAAATGTTAAAGAGAGCCCTCTATATGTGGATGTTCTTTTGAATGGATTGGAGATATTTAAATTGAGTGAGTCAAATCTTGCAGGACCCAATCCAACGATTTCAGATATGATGAGGAAGTACCAGGAAAAACAAGCAACAGCGCCAAAGGCTTTTGCTCAGAAGAGTTCCACCACTACCATGGCCCTTATTACTGGTGCTGCTGGTGGAGCTGCTGCATTTGGGGTGGCGGCCGCCATTTTTCTTGTTGCCCACAAGAAGAAACAGAAAGTCCCTGGAGATGCCACTAGCTGGTTACCAATTTCCTGGAATTCTAGTACTACATCAGGGACAAAATCATCTGTTTCTGGCAAGAGTCAAGGCAGCACGACAATTTCTTCAGATGCTGCAAGTAATTGTCGCTATTTCACCTTGGCCGAAATAAAAAATGGCACAAAAAATTTTGACGACTCCAATGTCATTGGGGTTGGTGGATTTGGGAAGGTATACAAAGGAGTAATCGATGGAGATACCAAAGTTGCAATAAAGAGATCAAACCCATCTTCAGAACAAGGAGTTAATGAATTCCAGACGGAAATTGAGATGCTTTCCAGGCTGAGGCATAGGCATTTAGTTTCCTTGATCGGATTCTGCGAAGATAACGGGGAAATGATATTGGTTTATGATTACATGGGAAAGGGGACTCTAAGAGAACATCTTTACAAGGGAAATAAAATCACTCTTTCCTGGAAACAGCGGCTGGAAATTTGTATCGGGGCAGCCAAGGGACTTCATTACCTCCACACAGGGGCAAAGTACACCATCATTCACAGAGACGTTAAGACAACGAACATTCTTGTAGACGACAAGTGGGTTGCTAAGGTTTCAGATTTTGGGTTATCAAAAACAGGTCCCAACATGAACAAAGGCCATGTTAGTACTGTAGTGAAAGGAAGTTTCGGATACCTGGATCCTGAATACTTCCGACGACAACAATTGACTGAGAAATCCGATGTATACTCATTTGGGGTTGTTCTTTTTGAGGTACTCTGCGCGAGACCAGCTTTAAATCCAAGCCTGCCTAAAGAACAGGTCAGTCTTGCCGATTGGGCATTACGTTGTGCAAGAAACAAGACTCTCGAGGACATTGTCGACCCTGAACTGAAAGGAAAAATTACCCCGGAGTGCTTGAAAAAATTCACAGAGACTGCAGAGAAATGCCTGTCGGATCACGGTGTTGACCGCCCTTCCATGGGTGATGTCCTTTGGAATCTTGAATGCGCCCTGCAGCTGCAAGAGAATCCCGATTCAAGCGCCATTGCAGCTAGTGGAGGCAGAGGCAGAGACAGCGGCAGCAGTATGGATCATCAGAATGCCGAAGAGATTGATCAGAACAACCTCATAGCCATGCATCGAAATACCTTAAATCTTGGAAATGACGACTCCAATGACTCACCAGATGAAAGTACTAATGATATCTTCTCACAGATTGCAAATCCAAAGGGCCTTTGAGAATTGTCTGCCCACCAACTTGTATTCATTTTATACTAGTGTCATGTCTAGCAAAACAGAATGCTACTTAGCCGCCTCGTATTCAAATCATGTAAAGCAAATCACATTTCCTTTTTATATACATTCCATATTATTAATATGTTGTTGTATTGTAACAAGTTCTTGCTTGTGAATTATTTCATTTTTGTAGTTTAGAAACATTTTAGACGAATTTGTTTTCTTTTTGGCCATTTTCCTTTTTCTCATTTCAATGTGTCTCATAAATCAACTTGACTTGTCTACAGATATCAGCTGAAATGTTAGTTTCATTCCAGAGTAATGTGTAAACTCAAAATTGTAAAGTTAACACAGAGATAGAATTAGGCCCAATAGTTTTCATCAGTTCAACCTCTTCAATTTCCTGGATACCATGTCATAGCAATGCATTCAGCAAAAGGAAAATATCGACCAGCATAAATCAACTAGTAGTGGGGAAAAGGAAAATATTAGTTAATAAAATGCTTACCTAAATGGGCACCCATTTTTTAGACACCAAAGGAAGTGATGGATAAAGATGTCCTAGTACGTACCATGAGTTATAATTCAACATCACAGAGTTCTTTTCTCTCTCAATGGTTTTACCAGATGATGAGGTCATCTGTCATCAATTATCACTTTATTTACTCTAATTTTTGGAGTCCTGACCCCCGGTGAGTTTTCTGTGAGAGGCGAAATGGAGCTCCCCTCACAATCCAAAATAACCCAGCCATCACACTTCCACACTACCGGCGCCGGCGACCAACTGTCCGGTAAGCACCACATAACCGGCCTCACGCCACAAAACAGCCCCTCCAACCACGCCATTCACACACAGCCGCAGTTTACTGTGGGAAACCCTAGCGCCGCCCAGCCGTTTCCGCCAGATCCGACCACATTTCGAGGAAATGCGCCTCACCTACGGCCTCAGCAGGGACCAGCGACCCCTGTCGGTGTTCTCCCCCCCCACGCCGCCGCGGGAAAACCTGCAACAGCAGCCTGCTGCTCCAAGATCAATCGGCTTGTCCGTTCCTCCATTTGATGAATTGCTAGTACACAATCAGGGGAAAAAATTGGCGGATTTACGTAGTATGGTATTCAATCATCGTTTCAGAGAGGCGAAGGACTTCGTAGTATCTATTAACGATTCTGACACTGTTAAGTTGACAGAATGGGGTTCGAAGTTATCAGATTCAATCTTTATGGGAATGTATGGTGTTATTTGGATGGTGAATATGGTAGACAGATTGAGGATGAGAAGTGAATTTGAGGAATGTGCTCTTAAGTTCAACAAGTCTTCAAGAGCTTTCTTGGCACAACGGTGTATGAACCGTCGAGGCAAATATTTGATAATAGCACAATATGGGGAGAGGCGTAGGAAAGGAGTTGTCATGATACCAGAAGGTGCTAATGGAGAGGGATGGGCATCGGTCTTGCAGGTGTTTCAAGCAGTTGTTGACTCATTTATTGCTAAGGATAAGGCCAAACGACAAACGGTGAATGAACGAAACAGACAAAGGATGACTTATGCAGAAATTACAGCAAACTCACAGACCTCGGAGAATGCCAACCAACGGATGCTACAGCAAAAGGAAAGGATAAATAAAGTCGGTGATAATGAAGGTCACGACATTTGTTTGAGTAGGGCTGAAATAATGACCCGTGCGCAGGAGTTGAAAGGAGCATTAGATGAATTACTTAGACTGGTTGGAAGCGGGCCTGAAATTGAGCCCATGAAATTGGTAAACTGTCACAAGTGTGGGGTTGAGTTGGATGAGGATCAAACCGGTGAAATACACGTACCGGGATTGACTCATGAGGAACTGCCATCAATTACAGAACATGCAAAGCATGGAGGAGATGAATATTGTGATTCTCAGGTGAGGATGGAAGCGGGATACCATGAAAACGATGACGGGGTTGACCTTGTGGGGGTCAACCGAACTGAAGTAGACACGGGGATTGCAATTGAACGAGAAGAGGAACCGCTGTCTAAGGAAGGGGAGTTTAGTATGGTGAACTTGGAGAAATTGTCAATGGACACTGTGAAAGAAAACAACTCCACACAAACAACATCAAGGATTACGAACACTTATAATAGGAGGACAAAAGATAATGATATGGGGACCGAAAAAGTTTTGGTGTTATGGGTAGGTGGTGCCAAGAAAGGAGAAAGTGACAGTGACATTATACCAGTGGTGGAAGAGAAAGAACGGTCCTTTGATCATCTCGAGGGCTATCAGGGTGAGGATACTTCAGGAGCTGATGTGTTAGAAGTTGGTCACCCACCTTCAAACTGGGTTCTACAAAAAATTCAGGAATTCAGTAAGTTGGTTGGCGTGTCATGTGATAGGTATGAAAGTAGATTGTTACAATTATTCGAGGAGCTGGAGGCTAATAGGGGGCAAGACATCAGTACACATGGAAGTAAATTAAGAAGAAAGGATGATACTGTTTCATTCTCAGTTTTGGTCAACGGAACACCTGAGGGTTATTTCCGAAACAGTAGAGGCTTGAGACAAGGGGATCCATTGTCCCCATTGTTATTTGTCATTGTGATGGAGGCTCTCAGTAGGATGATTGAAGGAGCCGTGAGAGCAGGTTTGATAAGGGGTTTTATGATTGACCAATTGCAGGTGTCTCATATGTTATTTGCAGACGACACGTTGATCTTATGCGATGCAGATGTTGAACAATTCAGGAACTTGCGCCGTCTGCTCTTATGTTTTGAAGCAGTGTCTGGTTTGAAAATCAATTTGGGGAAGTCTGAGGCTATTCCAATTGGGGAGGTCAATAATGTTGAGGAGCTGGCTGATATATTGGGTTGTAAGGTTGCGCAGTTGTCGATGTCATATCTAGGACTCCCGTTAGTGGCACGATTTAAAAGTATCCATATCTTGAATGGTATTGTGGAAAGGATGGAGAGAAGGTTAGCAGGGTGGAAGCGTATGTACCTTTCTAAGGGAGGTAGACTTACTCTCATTAAATCCACTCTCTCCAATCTTCCTACTTACTTTTTGTCATTATTCCCCATTCCGATTGCAGTGGCAAAGAGATTAGAGAGGCTTCAAAGAGAATTTCTGGGGGCAGGGTTGGGAGAGGAGAGGAGACTCCATTTGGTCAATTGGGGAGTTGTTTGTTTGTCGATGAGGATGGGGGGTTTTTGGGGTGAGGAGCCTTGTGTTGTTCAATAAAGCTTTATTAGGCAAGTGGTTGTGGCGATTTGGAGTGGAGAGGGAAAGCTTCTGGAGAGAAATAATTGGAGCGAAGTATGGTGTAACAGAAGGGGGATGGTATACATTTGAGGATCGTGGTTCTTATGGGGTGAGCTTGTGGAGGTATATCCGATGGGGATGGAGTGTTTTTTGGACAAACTGAAGTTTGTGGTTGGAAATGGTAATGAGATTAAATTTTGGGATGATTGTTGGTGCGGAGATCAACCGCTGAAGGAGAGATTCCCTTCCTTGCATCGCATTGCCTCAATATCCACTGCTATGGTGAGTGATATCTTAGACATTCATAATGGGAGCTATAGCTGGAATATTACTTTTGGGAGGGATCTTTAGGATTGGGAATTGGAAGATTATTCGCTGTTTATGACCGTTTTACATGAGGCCCAAATTCGGGTTGCAGAGAGAGATTGCATCAGGCGGAGGACAACACAAGATGACATTTTTTCAGTTCGCTCGTACTTTAGTTTCCTCATGGGATGTGTGAATAATTCATTCCCCTGAAAGTTGGTGTGGCAGTGTAAATTGCCTCCTCGGGTGGCATTCCTATTGTGGACAGTTGTGAGGGGACAAATCTCAACAGTGGATAATCTTCGTCGTAAAGGCTTTTACGCAATCGAGTGGTGTTATATGTGCAAGAAGGATGGGGAGACGATCGATCATTTGTTCATTCATTGTGATGGTGTACGTTGGATTTGGAACAGTATACTCAGTTCACAATCTATGGATTGGGTGATGCCTCATCGTATAGAGGACGTGATACGGGCATGGCGTAGAAAACTTCGGGATAAGTATAGCAAATTAGCATGACACCTTATCCCGGACTGCATTGTATGGTGCGTGTAGAGAGAAAGGAACAACCGCTGCTTCAAAGACCAAACAAAGACAAGAGAGCAGATAAGAGAAACATTTTACTTTACCTTGTATTCTTAGTTTAATGCTGTGACTAGAAATCCTGTAGATGGGTTGCCTAATTTCATGTTTTTCCTTAATGGCTTAAAGTAGTTGTACACCCCCCGTGTATTCTCTTTTAAGTAATAAAATTATTTAATTACCTATAAAAAAAAAAGTACGTACCATGAGTTGATAAATTCATCAATAAGTTCAGCAGAGCATTCCTTGTAAAAGTTCAAAATTTTGATGTATTTATCACCTGCCAACACATGAATATGGTAAGATTCCCCTGAAGAGAAAAAGAACGAACCAAAACATACATAGAAAAAAAGAGGAACGAAATATTTCCCCCCCAAAAAAAAACAAACAAACAAAAGAGAACTAACAGACTTTTAAGCATAAATAGGATGAACTATGGCTATTAACAATATTTGCACTTGTCCTTCACAATACAATATGAATATTATCTTCCAGCATTGACTACCAACCAGCAACTAAAAGCAGACACAAGATACCGGTAGAAGAGAAATGGCTTTGGATATGTAAACTTCACAGCATGGGAAAATGCAGTGCTCCTAAACAAAATTGAAATTTTACCACTCTACCAAGTGCCAATTTAGACAGATACAAGTTCCTAGCCAAAGGTTAACTAGCACAAACTTACAAGCATACCGAGGGCACCTCTAAATCACCACCAGCATTTTGAGTCTTATAGTTTCTAAATATCTGGAAAATAAGGATTCACATAGCTGACTCCAAGTTTATCCGGGACAAGGCTTAGTTTGTTGGTGTATCAATTACCTCGTGAACCTGGCATATAGAACCACAGAACTTTTTGTGAACTAGATAATCAGACGCATTAACCGCATTGTGCTCATTATATTTCACAAACACACAAAAGCGTATAATCCACTCAATATTTGACACAACAAATGAAAGTAAATATCCCATAATAGATAATCAAAACAAATAAGAATGTTAAAGAACTTGCATTTCTTTTTGAAAGTTCTCCAGAAGTAATACATTGTCAGTCCATAATGATGGATTAGCCTAGCTAGTTTAGACCCCGACTCGCAGGTCGTGTGAATTACTATCTAAACGCATATATATAAAGAACAATGCTGATAATTATGGCAAATTTTCCACTGAACACTTATGTTTTTCCCCAATCTTCATGCCACAACACAGCTAAAAACGAACCAGCACCACTGTAAATACTGTGCAGGACACACTACATAGTATCTAACAACCAGAACAGGTCCTCCGAAGCTATTTTCGATAGAGTATCTCATATTGTTTGACTTTGGATGGTTCGACTAAGCTCTTCATCCATGGTAAATACAATGTCATATTGGGGTTGAGAAAATATCACATGAACTTGATATCTTCTTCCCTTTGTTCTAGAACAATGGTTGCAAGAGCAAGTCTGTATGCTGTAGATCTCAAATTCCTCACAAGAACATAAATCTCCTTCTTCCTCTGCCTAACAGGCAGTGCCTTCCATTGTTCCTCTCGAAGCCTAGAGAGTAAGGTTGCCTCACATAGAGCCCCCGCAACTGGCTTCTTGCTGCATGTTTAAGAACACAAAATCTCAATGGTTAGATTATAAGAAATCAGCAAAATAAATATGCTAAAGAGTTACTTATAAATGACCTTATTATTTAAATGTACAGAGAGTAAGCAACCTATCCAAACATGACTACAGGAAAGTGAGACAACAAGGCTGTCAAGTTATAAGAGTAAGCAACAAATACCTTCCCCGTACAAAGCCAGTTGTAATGAAACCAATGGGCCACCTATAGGATTCTAGAACTGCCGGATCCTGTGGTACTTGAAGTTCCCATTCTCCAGATTGTTTCTGTTCAAAGTATGATTGCAATGAATACTGAGGTAACTGAAGTTCTCTGTTAGTTTGGGATCTGCATGAATTACAATATCTTTTTCAGAGAGGATTTATGAAAAAAACCCATATAGTACAGCAGGAAAGGATAAAAGACGAATGCAACAAAGTATAATGAAAACTGAGGACAACCTGAATGTCAACACATCTGTAATATGGGGTGCACAAACCACAGCTCCTTGTTCAAAAACGCCTTCCTTGTAAGCACGCAGAAGAACTCGGAGAAAACACTTCTTTTTGCAAGAATTCACTTCCAAGTTAACAGCGTCTTGTTTAAGAATTTCTTTATCCTTCATGTACTTATACATGCAATTCTTCTGATCAAGCGTTTTTGGGAATAGAAGTAAATGATTAGCATCAAGTTTATTCAGAAAACCGATCAACATACTGGATGTCCTTGCCACAAAACCTTTAAATGGAGCACCATGGCCACCATCTTCTTCACTAAATTTTTCAACTTGACTTTGAGAATTTTCAGCTTTACTTGATTCTTTATCCAAAGTAAGTCGGACACAATCCCATGGAGGGGGTATTGGAACTTTTGGGGGCCTTGTGGAAGGAGGACATAGCACGGCTTTCTGATCAGAGGCAACAGCCTCCATTGCCATAAAATGGGAGTACGCTTCGCAATCGGGAAAGTCGAGAGGAAAATATGGCAACCCAGCCTGCAAAATTGGCAAGGAGACAGTTAGTATTTTGATAATACTATGCTCAACTTATGCAAATGTAAAAGTCTGGAATATTACTTCGCAAGCAATCTGGTGCTTCTCTCTGAGACCAATGGCATGAGCACCATTGGAAACTAAACTAAACCAAAACACTTTAACCCAACTTAGAGGGAGAATAATAGACCACCTGAATAAATTTGTCAAGAACAAGATGATCAGATACTTAAAACATTTCCTAGCATTTACATACGAATCACACACATATAATAACTATTACAAATTCCCATAATAGTTCATACTGCCAAAAAAGAATTAATAAGCAAAAGTACAACCAGTTCAGATACACACAAGTGGCACTCCACATGCATTATCTGGAAATAATCCAAGATGGGATTCATACTAATGTGACTTCGCATATGACTTCAACCATTTTGCTTTCATCAATAAAAACACAAATCTGGTCTTCTTTCTCTATTGACACAGTAGAAGCTCATGGAAACAGAAACTTGGACTGATTGTTAAAAAGAGGAAAGGTTAGCCTCTCTAAGGCGTACATGTACATATTAGAAGACGAAAATCAGCCATGGACATGAAAAAAATCAATCGCCAAAATGCTAACTTATTTAGCAAATTGCATGAACAGGTAAAATTTACCTTGTAACAGAACCCTCTAGGTTCTCATTTTTCAGAAGCAGAATAGGACACAATCTAGAAGAATTTCCCTCAGTGGAAGCATTTTGAATCCCCGAATGTGTACCTCCAAGGCAAATAAACTCCTTACGCTGGTGATGTTTTTCCATGCAGATAACACTTTCTTCCACTGGAGGGCATATCCCTCTGCTGGCATCCCACAAATCTATAGGCTCAGCTACACTGCAGTCTTCGTTGTTTGTGCAGAATAAGAGCCACTGAGCATCCCTTTCCAACCTTGTTTGCTCTTTATTTTTACCTAATAGGCCAGGAGGCTTTTCTTCAGAAACAGTTTCAATCGCTTTCCTGGACGATGTACGAGGATCATTGACAGTAAGAGAAATAATTGCAGAAGATGAAATTTGCTCTTCATTCTTAAGGATGGATGTTTTCTTTGATTCCTCTTCATCCTCACCGGCAGAAAATTTCTTCAGATGCCAAGAACTCTCAGAGATACTGCAGCCAACCAACACCATTATGCCATACAATAATGCACAATTTGATTGACATGATACGGATTATAAAATAAAATATCTCACCAACTGACAGGTTGCAGTATCCTTCCAAGAAGCTGAACTGCATTTGATCCAATCAATTCCAAATTTCCAAGCTGGCCCTCACGAGAGGTAAATTTAAGTGAATGACCGGTCACGTCCATCTGAATTTTAAACCTGTTATCAACTTGTGCTAGAAAACAAAATGCAATGGTAAATTGAATAGACATATGATTCAATTTGTTCTGTTTTTCATCGTAGTTTATAACAAACCCAAGGATAGAGTAAAGCAGAAAGCATAAGATGACATCCAAACCAAAATGCGTGAAATCTAAAAATTTCTCTAGAACCCCACAAACTGTAGTGGCATAAAAAAAGCCAATTCAAGAAGCAAATGCATAAATTTTTTCCATGCAAATAAGTCCATGAAAAAGATAAGATATTAAATTGAGTATGTTGCATTCAACAGCTAAATCATTTTAACCTAAGTAACTAAAATTCCTAAAGATTAGTGTAGAAGATTTTGAAGCCTTAATAACCTTACCTGTCTTTCACAGGCAGATCTTAAAGCATCATAACCTTCTCTAAAAGCTGCACTATGGATCCACACCCATAGCTGGCGGAAGGGATCACCATTGTCAATGCTCTGTTTTTCATCACACAAGCTAGCTTTGTGGACTTCTCTATTAACAGCAATTTGTGTTAGAGGTCGCCACAAGTAGGTGACTGGAGCAATAGTTGGGGAAAAGGGTTTCCCAGCATGATGAAGCTGCCAAATGACTCTCAAAGATCAGATATTCAGCCAATAGTGCAATCTTTAAACATAGAATAAGTAAAAATAGGTTAACCCACCAAAGCACTTCCAAAGATGTTGCCAGAAAGCATGTTATGCAATCTATCTTGGGAGTGTGTTGATGGGGAAGGAACCAACACAGAGCTCAGCACAGACAGTAGCATATCCTGGAAAAATGTGTTGCAAGGATCAGGATATTGTAAGAGTCCAATAATTATAAATATCTAAGCAAAAATATCATGCTTTCACTGTCATCAACATTGTCATAAAACATATATAAGACCACCCAAAAGATAACGGAAATCAAAATATGACATCTTGAATTTAATCGTAAGAAAAGAATAAAAACTAGTTGATGCCTGCCTCTGGACCTTCCAACTGGACAGCTCCGCAATGGCTCATATCATGCACAAGCACTCCACATTTTAATTTATTTAAGAGCGCCCTTGAGCCTCTTCCTCTACATACCAAAACAATAAATTATTTTTTAGTACACTGTGAATTAATGGTCTCTTCTTCATTTGAAGAAGAATCTGAAGTATTGGCTTAAAAAATAATACAGATATCACATCAATCACATAAAAGAACCTATTCCTTTATTGATAATCTATGAAAAAGAAGCAATTCACTACCTGCCATGCAGACCAAGAGGAATGTGGAATCCCCAGAGTTTTATCATCTTGAACCGCTTCGCATGCCATACATGCGTTCTCAGTCTCTTCATCCCATCCCCTGAAGTACAAAACCCACTCTCAGGGTTCTTGCTGAGTTCAACCCTCCTTCGAAGTCGACGAGACACCTTCTTCTCATCTTTCTTGGAAGAATCACTTTTATTCATATATTTTATTCCAACTCTCTGCTTCTTTCTAAACCTATTTCTCCCAACTCGATCATCATGCCCAGTAGTTCTCCGCCGCTTGTTCCTTCGACAGCGGAAATCATTATTCACACGATTTGCAACTACAGAGTGAAGACTCTCAAGCTCAGAAGCTCTAGACTCAGCAAATTTCAGCACAACGAGTTTGTGTGGCGGAGCAGCTGATGCTTGAGGTTTGCTCCCATCGGTAACCATATTTTGACCGCTAACCAAATCAATTTTGCAACAATCTAATACCACTCAGCTACAATGTAGTTGCTCTTATTCTGAAAGCATAAAAGGTGTTGGGCATTAATCAATATTAGAAATAAGCTTAGAGCAACTGGAAATGGAAATGGAATTATATATACTTATATATAATGATGTTCCAATGTATAGATTTCAACAAATTAATCTAAATAGTACACTAAATTACTTTCCAGTAAGAACAGGTTAACACCTAATTTTTTCTGCACAACAAAGTAATTGAAGGCATAGAAATCCACAGAAAAGTACAGATAGATAGTTACAACTAATTAAGAACATACAAAAAAGCATTGATGGGATTTAGGGCAGAGATAAGTGGCAGTCAAATATGGTAGTCTCCTTGTTGTGGGGACAATTTGATATTCACATACCGGAAAAATATGTCGCCTTGATATATTTGAATAATTTATAAAATAGTTACTTTTGCTGCAAGTAACTAACTTATGGCCACACTAAGCACTTATTTATTTATATTGAATAAATTATATATTATGTTAGCTAATAGGTAATAGTGAACGAGGGAAATAAGCACATTGAAAACAGGGGCAGAGCCAAGATTTCGATCTTCAGAGTAAGAATTAAGTAAAAATACTTTTTTTTTCCAAATAATACAAAAACTCATCAATACTAAAAATAAAAGATTTTTTTACAGTTGTCACCTACTGGCAAAATGAATAAAATTGGAGCTTTTGGTTGAAAATATCTTTCCACTACTTCTTTGGGATCAAACAAAGCAAACTCAGCAAGTTACAACAACTTCAAACTATGACAAACTTGGCAATTTCTATTGAAACCATAAGTAAGCAGACATCAAGTTCCCAAAAGCATTGGACAAATAACTGATTAACTGTACTAATAGCTCCCAATTCAAATTTAATCATCGTAATAAGTATAGAAATTTAGGGTTGGGAAATTACAGGGGTGGAAGATTTACCTTTAAATTCAAACAAAAATTTGCTTTAGAATTGGATTAAGTTATTGCATCCCAAATGCTTCATTTAATGAAAACTTAAAAAAGAATTATATTTTTACTCCTCCAAAAACCCATTCATTCATATTCTGGTTGGCTTCAATGCTACAGGTAAAATTTGAATATTTTTTTTGCAATATTAGTTAAAAGTGCATCTAATCTGTACAGAAGGCTCTAAGGCTTATTAATTTGCAAATTTAGTAAAACCACAACTAGCTGTAAAACCCAAAATTTTACTTCAACAGAAACACAAGTTTACTTTTCCATAATCATACTGTGATTAAATTATTGCATCCTAAAAGCTAAATTAAAAGAGAAATTACAACATAACAGGGGCGGAACCAACTGGAGTCTAGTGTGGGCAACTGAACCCACTGGATTTTGGTCCTGGGTATTTCACCTATTGCAGTTCAAAAGCGGCCAGTTTCAAGTCAAGGAGAAAAACCTAAACAACCGCATCAAAAATTCACGACCAGCGTTGTCGAAAAAATCACTGTTGCTAGAGGAAGATTACCATCAAGAAACAACAAATTTGGCAAAATAAATAAATTATAAAGAGTTGAGTTGAAATTAAATCACTCACAACAATCATATCAGGTGCTATTTCAACATATAAAGCCTGTTTTTACACTAATAAGCCAATACTACCTTCCAGTTTTGTTGATGAAGAAGTTGAGTAAATTAGAGATAAAATCTTAAAGACTACCTTGAAACAATGGAGAAGCAAATTTCCCGAAATTAAGCCTATCTCAAAAAATTGAGGGCTGATACTTTACGGTGGTGCCCGGTAGGGTGAGAGAGGCATTGAGAGAATAAGGGACACTAACAGACAATGAATACCGAGGAAGAAAGCCGCTTTCCCCTTGCTCTATAAATAAGACTTAAAACAGACATGGGTTATTATAGTTGTCAAACCCGACTCGGACACTGACCCAAACAATGCATTGGGTCAGTGGGTTAGTGGCTCAACCGATGACCCGGTGGTTCGACCAGAGGGTCAATTCATGTCAATATATTATTAAATATTTTATTGAATGATAAAATTTTGATATTTTCTACCACCAACTAAATTAACTTATGTTATTTTGGTGGCTAAAAAACGAACTTATGAAAAAGTTCAACCAAGACTGCATCAAATATTATGAAAAATCCATTTGCAACATTAAAATCAACAACTAGGGAGTAGTGACCAAAAACAACTTTTTATGTCAAAGTTCAAGAAGAATACAATAAGAATCCGTAAACAAAAAACTCATCAAGAAATCAAATAACCATTGCAAACTTATACATTCCAAGTTAAAGTATTCGCCTATAAAAACGAATTCATGATCAACAACATCATTTTTCATATTACCCATAAAACAACACAGTACCCCTTATTAGCATAAAGAAATAAAAATTCATCAAGAAAGAAAACCAAAGGAGCAGTGCAATTTTATATATCCCAAGTTACTGCAATCGCCTAAAAATTGAAGTAGTCAGCAACAGCAGTTTTTGAAATTTATGCATTACCCGTAGGCCGTAACAAGGTAAATTGTTATTTAAAATGTGGAGATTCTCTTATTTTCCATGGGAAGCTAAAAGGTGACTATTTATGCTAAAATCATTCTCCCAGCTACAAACTTGAAATTAAAGTTGCACAAAAAATCTTATTTTCATATATTTCAGTGGCATAAATTTGAAATTCACCAACAAAAAACTTAAATTCCAGACTTACACGTTCTTCTTCTGTTTAATCCAACTTGAATTTGAAGATTTAGATTATTGAGAAAGGATCTGTAGAAGACGGCTTCACTGAAGGGTTGCAGAAGACAATGGAAACCCGAAAATCTTAAGGGACATGGATTATCTGGGTTTATAACGTGGATCGTCCGGTTCACTCAAAATTGGTCCAGTGGGTTTTTAAAAACCCGGCGGTTCAAATGGGTGGATAATGAGTTAATTGCATGTTACGAATCCACAGAAAATATGAAGATAACAAAAAAATCAGCCGGTCAAATTTACCCATGTAATTAAATTGAAAATACAATCATTGTGTATAATGTGAAATAAAGTTAAAATTTAGAACAAGAAGACCAAAGCAAAAAGATCTTCTTTTAACGTATTTCAATGGCATAAAATCGAAATTCATCAAAATAAAAGTTAAATTCCGGACTGACTTACATCTTCTTCTTCCATTTAATTCACTTGAAATTGAAAATTCTGGATTTGGATTCTTGGGAGGATTGCACGAAGACGGATACGACCGAAGGAGGAGGCAGGGTTTTCACTTTTCAAGTTAACACAGAACGCGAAAAAAATAATTCTGGTTTCCTCCATCTTTATGTAAAATGGTGGCCCATCCGATTCATTTAAGACTGGGCCGGGGGGTATTAATGAATCAGACGGTTCCGACGGGTTGCTAATGGGTTATTTGCACACGTTATATGCCTCCGTTTAGTAGCAACTTTTCATATCAAAAAATTAAAAGTTTGATCGTTATTTAACTACTTCAACCATTATTTTTTACTTCTACACTTACAGGTGAGATTCATTTTTCTCTCAATCAATTCTCATAATCACTACTGAACATGCCATATTTAAGTCAATAGGATCGGACCATTACGCGATTCGCCAATTTTTGAACCGACTCGAGTGGTCCCATTCGGGATTAATAACACTACTTGAATGTTCAAGCTTTTAATTGGGCTTTATAAAAAAATTTCCCCTTCTAATCCATTTTTCAGATGGGCCTAGATCTAGTAAATAAATAAGAAAATTTATAAAATACTTAACTTTAGAGCTTTCTTTAAAAAAAAAAAAAAAGATTAAACTCTAACCTTAAGGGTCCCCCACTACCCCTGCCCTGGAGCATCGTGAGGGAGATAAATCGCAGGTTATGCCTCCAAGGGTATAGGGTGGAAGGCTGCTTGTACACTTGCACTTATCCAAGAGCCAAATCCATATTTCAGGATTCGAACCCTTGACGCAGCAGCCTCAAGCAAAGCTGGATTTCTCCACCCTCCCCTTTTACCACTTGGAGATGTGCCCTGGGGGCACTTTAGAGCTTTCTTTACTTTGATGGAAAATTGTCGCTAGGAGAATCTCTAAAATTATTTCCATATTGAAAGCTTGGTATAGGAATCCACGAAGAAACAATCCAAAACATTTTCTTAGTGTCAGTAAAAATTTGAATTATTTCTTGAATTTTTAACCGATTTCATGGTTGAGAACGAGAATTGAGTTCTATGAGATTTAATCTTTATTCTTTGACAACATAAAAAACCATTGTTCCATTCACTTGAATTTCTTCCATTTCATCGATTTTGTTATTACCTTTGACAAATTAATTGATTAACGAAAAATTCTTAAATCAAATGTTTGGCTATTTAATAAATTCAAAGTTTTTTATTTCTTTTGACAAAGTAATTGATTAATAAAAAAAATTCTTAAATCAAATGTTTGGATGTTTAATTAATTTAAAATTTTTATTTCTAATATTGTTCTCAAAATTATGATAATTTTAACTTATATTCTGATTTTTATCTTAATATAAAGAGAGGAATCATTAAATTGATTTGAACTAAGAAAAAAATTTGCGGCCATCCAAGCCAGTATAGAAGGGAGCGACTCATAAGAGCCATAATCGTACGTTGTTAAACATTCCGTCAAATGTCATAACGATCATATTTGACAACCATTAACGTCTACCTAAACAATCATTACGTGAAATTATCGTAATTCTACAAAATAGTAGTAGTCGAGTCAAAATTATTTGTTACATGTCAAGTAAACTTGTATCATATATATTTGTAGCAATTATATTGTATAGAATGAGGCAGAGTCACAATTATTTTTCTGTTAAACAGTCCATCCAAAATACAAAACGGTGACATGCAATTATATGGTACAAGGAGTAACATGTTCTACAACAAAAGTCACAACACACCTTTATTGTTTCTTCTAGCTACTACAATGTCTACCCATAATTTGTAGAGATTTCAATTGTTGATGACGTCGAACATTTTTTTTTAATGAGAAAATAACTAATTTTTTATATTGTAAGGATGGATTCAAAAGAAATAAACTATTTTTATCTATTTACTGATTAGTTCTTATATGAATATTCTAATCAAGGGAACCGATCAAATCGACTCCAATACATAAAATTCTAAAAAATATATGTATTTTGGAGTAGCCTGATTTTTGCAATTTTGTGAAATGTTTGTCATCGATTCAAATATAATGTTAATTATAGGAGTTATCAAAATTTTGGTAATAAATATATATCCATTACTTTGGGTTACAATGTTTAATACCTTGCACAAAACACAGTTTTAAATAAATTTGTATCAAAATTTTCCCATTTCTTAAAACATAATATTAATTATAGAAGTTATCAAAATTTTTGTAATAAATATGTATCCTCTTCTTTATGCTATGATGTTTAATAAACACTATTATAATAAAATAATTGTCCAAAATTATGCTTTTACATACGCGTTATATTAGTAAATCCACCACAATTATATTAATTCGCACAAAATATTACAACATTTGTTCATTTGTTTGAAAAAAAAAATATTTACTTATGAAGGTAATTAAAAAAATATATAAGAGGGATTAGAGGAGAGAGTTTCGAAAAGTTGAGATTTGTATAAGGACTAGTGGGATGAACGTGTGTTGCATGTTAATTGGTTAATGTTAAAACACAAGTGCATAAATTTGAAAGTAATTTTTTTGTAGATGTGAAATATATTCATAAGTTGGTTAAAATTGACTTGTCTTTCATCCATTTTCTTTGTATATATTTTATTCTTCGTACGAAAATTTGGCAATCATTTAAATTTATACCTGTTTTCGTTGGACTGTAGCACATAAATATTTCGATACTTCTAAGAATGAATATATTGGGTAAGAAGATTCCATTGCAAAATGAAAATAGAAACTAAAGGTAGAAGAGTTACAGAGACAACGTACATATAAAGTTTAGGTCAATAACTGCTCCATGAGTACTTAAAATATAACTGATATTTTACAGGTTATTTACAAATGCAGAAGCTATTTGCTAGCAGCATGTTACACTTAAAAGTCGAATGAGACGGAAAAGGACAAAAACCATTTCTAAATTGGGATTTCTCCAGTGATTAAACATCTCGTAAAAAACTCATCGACGAATTCATCGACTGCAATGCCTTTGCCAACATCATCATTTTTTTGGAATGTGAAGGACTGAAATCTAAGAATAACACACATTTGATCGAGGATGCATTAGAATCAAGCTGCATCAACCGTAGTGATCCTGAAGATGAGAACGAAAATCTTCATGACGACAATAATTAGGTCGTTGACATGGAGAAAGAGAGAGAGAGAGACATGATTGGTGGAGAAAATGTGAAACTATTTAAAAAATATAAAACATGGGTAATAGTATAACCATTGAACATATTGATGTCGTCTTTAACAGATGTGATCACACTCACGTACAGTCAATTTCTAAAGATCAACATGCCTACAGCAAATATCAACCTTTGCGTCCCTTGTATGTGGTTTTGCACTGAGAGCAAGACTGATTCCCATGGTTTCTCTCATATTCATAGCAAGGCCCGCAAACTGGAAATGCACAGACATCACAAGCAACAAATGGCTCACCATCAACAATCTACAAATCACAGTGCATGTGGAATAAAGAAGTTCATATTATGGGATTTTATAAAATCAACAGGTCATATTCAGTTGAAGGTCGGAAAAGTTAACTAAAGACCTTTAGAAGTTCAACCCTGAAGCATATTAAGCATCGCATGAATGTTAAAAATAACAATGCAGAAACTTTTCGTACTGACCTTCGTTTCTGCTTCAAATTCCATCATCACTTAGCTTGAATGAGAGCAATATATTTACAAGAAAACTTCAGTCAGATTTTGATACACTCCTACACCGGTTGCTGATTTCTGCAGATAATAACTCACAGCAAAACTAGGCAAACACGAGTATATGTAAAGGAAGACTTATATTCACTAACGGAAGAACTGTAGCACAATAAATTGTAAAAGAAACAGTGACAAAGTGTTCCTGCTATTAAAGGAATTCAACAGTAAAGAAATTGAAATAAACGAATGGGTATTTGGACATTCGAGAGGTCCAGTGCTCTCCTATGTGTTTCCACCAATTTTCTGCATGCCTTTTCTCTTCCCTCTGGCTCTGTTTTATAGATCTGGCTCCATAACAACTTTGCTAACAACTTTAGAGCCTCCCACATGCTGGTTGAGTATCTCTGAGTTGTTTTCCTTTTCTGCCCTTATGGTTTTCTTGCGTCTGTTGTATGTTAACTGAATAGGCGGCTTATCAGATTTCCACATGCCTGAATAAAACTCCAAAGCAAGGACTAAGTATATATTTTCTATATCAACTGTCCTCGAAAGCAGGAAAAAGACTACACTATCGGTAAAGAGTATGAATTGATAGATAGTACTCTTAAAATTATTAAAATTTGTGGCAATCGTAGTATAAGGACGGAGAGTATTATTAATTTCAAATTTTTTATTTGTCATTATCCATTTTGAATATTGCAAACCAAAGTTAAGTAAATTTGTGTTTTAAGATGAGATGTTAAAACCTGAGATAATTTCTTTGATTAACGACAGCCAAGAAGCAGGAAATTAGACATGACCAGCTGATGGAAGACATGGTCAAGTAGTATGCTAATAGTTTTTACCTTTTAACATGTAGAATACTGATGTCACCTGGACTAATAGGAGCAGTCCAAGAAAACAAAAGGGAACTAACTGATAAATTTTCTAAATAAACCAAACCACCAACCATACCAGCTCATACAATCATCTCACATGAAATGAGCAAAATGTGATAATGTATCCATTTAATGGAAAAGAATGCCTCATGCCAGTTAGCATATGGCATCATGGCATGCCACAAGTGAATAGTGGTTCTTATATTTTGATATATTCAGTTTAACTTTAAACAGCATTTTAGGATAACGTTTAATCTAAGATAAAATGAAGAGTACTTACTGGGACATAAAATCTACTTTATTTTTTTTTCTTTTTCTAAGATTAGCAAAACGTGCTCTAAAATGCAATCAGTACTCATCAATGCAGTCCACTGGTATACAATGATATGTGTTAGGAAGGATTTTTTTTTTCTTGACTTTCATTCGAAGCTGCAAATATAAAATTAGCAACTACTGAGTATAGAGGGGTAAATGTTGCTCGTGGTGTGTAAACTTTTAGTAAAACCTCAACTATGTCACTAAGCTTCATTTTAGTTTTTAATTTTACCAACATGTTTAAGGATGACTAAATGCCACATCCCACAGCCAAACACGCTACATCGAGTGAAAAATGAATTATAGGCTTAGATATACACATTTCATTCATCGATGGGGAACAAATCGGCCCCGCCATGGCTGCACATCACTGGTTGCAGGAGTAATACAGGAAAAAACTGCTACTGCCTGACCATTCAGGTTGCCATGCAAAGATACAGGTCAAAATTTGCCCCTTCCCAAATCAAATTTTCTATAAATCATCGATGCAGCGTCTTCATTTACCACATAATATATCGACAAAGCATATATCTGTTTGCCCAACCCGCTACCTTCACCATAATCACCACACTTGCACAGGCTTCTCATCTTCAAAGCCCAATCCTTACATTATCAGCACACACCCAAAACCATAAGTCTAAAATAAAAACCATCAGCCAGACACAATAGATATTCCCATTTGGCAGAAGATTGAAACATTACAGAATATTACTAATATTCAATCCAAATCATTAGACTGTCAATAAACCTAGTCTCAAGTTAATGTACGAAAGGAAAATGAAAATTGTACTGAAGCGAAAGACTTGCCCGAAATCCACAATTTCCTTACATCAATCATCGAACCAATACACGGGTTCTCAACAGGGAAAAAATGCAATGCAATGACAAATCATAGTTTAGAGCAGGAGAAGAAAAAATACCCGAACAAGGAATGAAACAACCTAGAATATATCAAAGGTGCCACGCGTTTTCCACAACGTGAAATTATACCGCAAGTGTACGGTGTCAAATTTTGTAATAGAGTATTGAAGTAAGAGTGTAGAACCCACAAGAATTGTAATTTAATTTTTTTACTAAGTATTATAATTGTGTAATTCGTACTTTATTCAGATGAACGGATGATTGAATGATTGTGTTAAACTAATGTAATGTAATTCGTCGTGACAAAGTTGATGAATGCAAATTATCAATATGAGAAGGCTTAGGGATTGATTTCACCTTACTCTCAATTATGATTTAACAATTTCCAATTATTCCACTTAATTTTCCCATATTTAAAAGTAAGAATCTTAATATATTCCTCTCCCCTCTCTCGAGTGTCAGCTAGAAAATAATCCTAGATTTCAATTCCAATATCTCTATTTCGAATTGAAAATCAAGAATTTATAAAAGTCCTGATTATTTTATGGAGTAAGCTTCACAGATTTTACATAAGTTTCACAGATTTTACACTTTCTCTCGAAACCCATAAAACCCATGTTGTGTCAATCTTATGATCACACCTAAATTTCCCTCTCTCGAGTGTCGAAATTGACTAGTATCTATTCATTCAATTATTGATCAAGTAATTAAAAGCATTAAAATCATGACACAATTAAATATACGTGGAAAAATCAAATAAATAATTATAAATTCATCAAACCATAATCTCGATTCGGCTACATCAAACCCCTAGATAATTTGTTTAGTTCATGATATAATAAATGAAAACCATATAAATTATAACAAATAATATAAGGAAAATGATAGAAAAAACTAGTTTTTTGGGTAGATCTTCAATCTTTTTCCTTGATGTTGTTCCTCCTTCCTTTTGGTGTCTTCAATTTTTGCCTCCTCCAAATTGTGTGGTTGAATCCTTCAATCTTACCCCCCCTTCAATTCCCCTAAAAATAGGGTTTTTGAATAGTATTTATAGTATGTTGGGGGGTCTTGAACGAAATAGGATTGAATTGGGCCAAGAAAAGAGTCCAAAAACATAAAAACTCGTTTTCCCGCATATCTGTCGCCTTGGCGCCCAATATGGGCGCTGCGGTGCCGCCTATTATGTTAATTTTCAGTCATATGGGTGCTGAGGCGCCCAAGATAGGCGCTACGGCGCCCGGTTCGGCCGAAATGGCAGACTGTACATCTTTCAATATTTTTAGTATAACTTTTGTATCCGATGTCCAATTGAGATGATTTAAAATGCATTAGAAAGCTAACTCGAAGGGCTACAACTTTGCTTCAGGCATCATTCCTCAACTTGATCATTTGCTATGATAAAATGGATCTCAATATGAGGCTGAAACATCGAAGCATAACTTTTCGGTTGGAAATTGATTTGTGATCATATTTTGACTGAATTTGATCCCTTTGACATCTTTTTTTTCATCCAATTGACTCCTAGCACTCTCGGGTCTTCATTACGAGGTTCAACACAACTTTTCAATATTTACGCTTTAGTCCCCAAACTTTGGATTTCTTACAATTTGGCCATTTTCTCCAATTTCGCCAATTTTTGCTTATTTCTTTCAATTTCATCAACCTACATCACAACATCAAAACACACATTAAAAAGCTCTAAAACACTCTCAAGGGTAGCAACATAACAATTAGGTGGCATAAATATAATGAGTGTAGAGCACTCATCAAATACCCCCAAACTTAATATTTTACTTGTCCTCGAGCAAACACAAACTAAAGAAAATAACAAACAAACTCACAAACTCAATTAAAACCTACAGAATCATGTAAGAACAATTTTTTTGCTAGATATCTTGCCTTTACAGCTCAGAATTAAAAACATAGCATTAATATCATGAATCACTTCAAAGTTATAATGCACAAGCTGAATTCTCACATATTCAATGCAAAAAGGATATGTGTGTGGAAAGTTAAGTGCAACGCTATACAATAGTAAATTGATCCAATTGCCAACCTTAAAAGTCAACTATTTACTTACTCCGCTCGTAACAATCACACACCTCCAAACTTATTTTCTTCTCACTTCCCACACGGTGTGATCTAAGGTTAATTTCTCGATACTAATTTCTTACACTACTCAAGTTTGGTTAGATTTTATTAATTGCGGTTCAACGTGTCCATAAATGAAGATTCTCCTATTTTTGACTGCTTCAATATCTAGGAATCAACTAAGTTACTAACCCCTCATCAAAAGGTTAATCCTCTCAAACAAGTGTTTAGAACTTAATCAATGCATGTGATGTCCCTTTTTTTATACAAATTTATTCTTTAATCACCCTTTGTACGGACGTCTCTACATTAAGCTTTTTAAATGACCACTATAGCGAGCTTTAAGCCGATAACTCTCAAATTAGACGACTTTAGGACATCACTTAATCACTCGAGTCATAAAGGCTACGAAGAGACGATTTACAATAAGATAATTATGATTGTCCTCATTGGGATTTTCTTTCTTTTTTCTTTTAACAATGATTAGTGCAATGCCCCTTATCAAACACATATTCTTGATAATTGACCTCTAATTTAAGGTTTTCACACAATTTTCATCCAATTAGTCTCAGACAGTCCACACAAAAAATTAGCAAACACGGAATCCACATTTATCTCCAAGTTTCCCTACAACATTGCAATCATCCAACCATCCTATGTTTGGTTTAATGATATAATAATGTTTAAAGGTTGTTTGGGTTTAGCATCTAAGTCCTCTAATTCAACTTATAAAAATGAATCAACCTACTCATGTATAACGCTACAATCAACTCATGTTCATAAATATTTTTCGTTTCACACAGATAAGCAAAAGTCTAACTCACACATATAACTTATCCATAATCTATAAACCAATACATGTTCTCAATGGTATACATCATTGCATGCAATGCTATCTAACTCACACAAGTATGTAAAACACAAAATAATTTTTATTTTTTTTGGTTTTTTAATAGTGCACACAAATAAAAAAAAATTTAAAATGCGCACAAATCACACAAAATACACAAAATAATAAAAAAAATATACGTAGGCAATTAGAAAATTTATGATACACCCCAAACTTAAACTAAACATTGTTCTCAATGTTAAATTAAAAGAAAATGAGGAAAACTTTCCTGAATTGTCTGAATTACCAATGATGGTCTGGTCTATGATGCTAGACTTGATTGATACTTCTTCTAATTTCTCCCCCAAACTTGATATTTATCCAGTTACTCTTCGTTAATTGGTTTGATTGTTCCGCAACGTCAAGTTCCTGAAAATTCAAAATGTAGATATTAAATTCATGGAACAAGTGTTACTTAGCTCGAACATCTAATAACAAAGTTGACTATTCAAAGACCTAAGGGAGACGAAGTATGGCTGATGAATTCCTAAATAAAAAACTTTGAAATAAAATAAACTCTCCTATAATTTAAAAGAAATAAAATAAGTGAAAATGTAAGAATGTTTGGGTTGCCTCCCAAGAAGCGCTTCTTTATAGTCACTAGCTTGACTCAACACAACGCCTATGGTGGATCCTCAGGTGGCACATTTCTCTTGTTTCTGAACTTTATCTTCGACTTTGTATTCTCCTTCATTGTAAGATGGCGAACAAACTTAGGCTGTTTTGATCCCGGTATGGCCTTTGAGACCTCTTTTGGTTTGACAATGTTTGGAGGTTTCAAAGGCATATCCACATAGTTCTCTTTTTTGTCAAGTGGGTCAGCTTCTTAGGCTAAGATGAAATCCACCGCATTCTTAGTTCCTAAGTCATTACTATCAGTAAATGCATCCTTTGCTGAGTAATTAATTGCCATGTATTATACTAACGAATCATAAAATAATTCTCCTTTTCCTCTGTTTCCTATAATTACTTTAGTTGATTGGATCATTTTGCAAGTGTCAACTTTTCCTTTTTCTGAGGCTTTCTTTTCTTGATGGATGTTGAAAGTTTCTTACTCTTCATTAACTCGTAGTGTCAACTTTCCTTTTTGCACATCAATTAATGCTCTTCCAGTAGTCGGGAAAGGTTGGCCAAGAATCAAATGTACTTTCTCATCCTCCTCCATGTCCAATACCACAAAGTCCACCGGAAAGATGAACTTATCAACCTTCGCCAACACATCTTCAATAATGCCCTTAGGATATGTGATCGATCGGTCCGCCAGTTGCAAGGTGAGGGTTGTGGGTTTCACTTCTCCAAGACCCAACTGTTTGAACACTGATAAGGGCATCAAGTTTATGTTAGCTCCAAGGTCACATAGTACCCTATCAAATGTGATACCACCAATATTGCACGGGATGTTGAAGCTGCCCGGATCTTTCAATTTGTGGGGGAGCTTCTTCTGAAGTATGGCACTACACTCCTCTGTTAGCTTAACAGTCTCAAATTCCTCCAACTTTCTCTTCTTCGACATCACTTCCTTTAAGAACTTGGCATAGTTAGGCATTTGGGCCAAGGTTTCTGCAAAGGGAATGTTGATGTGGATTTTCTTGAAGACCTCCAGAAACTTTGCGAATTTTTCATCAAACTCTTTCTTCAAATACCTCTGCAGGAATGGTAGTGAGGGCTTCAAGATAGGTGGGTTGTCTGAAAATGAAATTGAGTAAAGCTTATGAATCTTCTTTATTGCCTCTGCCTTAGTTTTCTGCCCTTCAGTTTGCTTTTCCCTTGCAAGTATAGGATCCGATGTAGGCACCCCAACCTCTCTAAGCTTGCATTCTTCAACTGCTTTACCACTCCTTAAGGTGATAGCATTGCAGTGTTCCCATGGGTTAACCTCTGTGTCACTGGGAAATTGTCCTTTCTGTTGAGACTGTATTGCAGTTGCTATCTGACCAATCTGTACTTCCAAATTCTTCATTGCAGCCCCCAAGTTGGTCATATGAGTCTCAATGTTGTCAAGTCTTACCTCATCTTTGTTGAACCTCGATCTGGTCTCTAAAATGAAGGTTCCTAAAATATCCTCCAATGATGGCTTTCGCTCAAACGCTTGATTATTGAACCCCTGATAGTAGTTATTTCCTAAGTAGTTTTCCCTTTGATTGAAGTTTTGATCGTTCACATACTGAAGTTTTTCATTCTCCCTTTCAGCTTTCTGGTATGTAGTGGATGTAGCCATTATATATTCTGATTTCTTTTGCGTTCCATGTGAAATCAATGCAGCTATTTGATTAGTGAGAGATGACATTTGAGCTGCAAGGGCAGCAATAGGATCCACTTCATAAAGGCTAGCAACTTTCTTTGCACTTGCATGCTCACACGGCCACCGATAGCTATTAGTAGCTATCTCATCCAATAATGCATAAGCCTCATTTGGAATTTTTGAATAATAATGCACCTCCTGCTGTAAAATCTACCACTGTCTGTGTCTGACCATTCAAATCGTTGTAGAATGTTTGTATCTACAACCAATCCGGGTAACCATGCTGAGGACATCTTCTAGATCTTTATATCTCTCTCATGCCTAATAGAACGGTTCAAAGTCTGACTGTCGGAACTGCCCAATTTCACTCCGCTCCGCAATTGCGCTGCCTTCGAAGGTGGAAAAATTTTTGTAAGAAACTTCTGTGCTAACCCCTTCCAAGTTGTGATGGATCCATACTGCAATGATTGGAACCATGCCTTGGCTTTGTCTCTTGGGGAAAAGGAAAATAGACAGAGTCGGATTGCATCTTCAGTAATACCATTCATTTTCACGATATCAAAGATTTCTAGAAAGGACCCCAGATGAGCATTTGGGTATTCTGTTGGAGCTTCCCCAAACTGATTTTGCTACACCATGTGTATAAGTCCCGGCTTCAGTTCAAAGTTGTTAGCAGCAATAGCTGGACGTGCAATATCGGAGTAATTTTCATTGACAACTGGTCTGATGTAGTCCCTTATAGCCTGTTGTTGACCATTCTGATTGTTCTGATTCACTATTGGTAGATCTTGTTCGGCCATTACTTCACGGTTGTGTCTCTGAATACCCCATAGAAATCTGAAGGTTCGTTCTGGTTCAGGATCAACGGGTAGTAGTCCAACACTCCTCGATCTTCGCATAAACCTGAAACATGTGTTGCAAAATAATTTAAAAAGAAAAAAAATCTAAATTAAAATAGAAATTACTTGGTAATAATGTTAGCAAAAAATAAATTTTACAATCCCCGGCAACGGCGCCAAAAACTTGCCACGCGTTTTTCACAACATGAAATTATACCGAAAGTGTATGGTGTCAAGTTTTGTAATATAGTATTGAAGTAAGAGTGTAGAACCCACAAGGATTGTGATTTAATTTTTTTACTAAGTATTATAATTGTGTAATTCCTACTTTATTCAAATGAACGGATGATTGAATGATTGTGTTAAACTAATGTAATGTGATTCGTTGTGACAAAGTCGATGAATGGAAATTATCAATATGAGAAGGCCAGGGATTGATTTCACCTTACTTTCAATTATGATTTAACGATTTCCAATTATTCCATTTCATTTTCCCATATTTAAAAGCAAGAATCCTAATATATTCCTCTCCCCTCTCTCGAGTGCCGGCTAGGAAATAATCCTAGATTTCAATTCCAATATCTCTATTCCGAATTGAAAATCAAGAATTTATAAAAGTCCCGATTCTTTTATGGAGTAAGCTTCACAAATTTTACACTTTCTCTCGAAACCCATAAAATCTATGTCGTATCAATCTTATGATCATGCCTAAATTTCTCTCTCTCGAGTGCCGGAATTGACTAGCATCTATTCATTCAATTATTGATCAAGTAATTAAAAGCATTAAAATCATAACACAATTAAATATATGTGGAAAAACCAAAGAAATAATTATAAAATCATCAAACCATAATCTCGATTCGGCTACATCAAACCCCTAGATAATTTGTTTAATTCATGATATAATAAATAAAAATCATATAAATTATAAGAAACAACATAAGGAAAATGATAGAAAAAACTAGTCTTTTGGGTAGATCTTCTTCCTTGATGTTGTTTCTAATTTCTTTTGGTGTGTTCAATTTTTGCCTCCAAATTGTGTGGTTGAATCCTTCAATCTTGCCCCCCTTCAATTTCCCTAAAAATAAGGTTTTTGAATGGTATTTATAGTATGTTGGGGGTTTTGGACAAAATAGGATTGAATTGGGCTAAGAAAAGAATCCAAAAACATAAAAATGCGTTTTCTCGGATATCCGTCGCCTCGACGCCCAATATGGGCGCTACAGCGCCACCTATTCTGTTAATTTTCAGTCATATGGGCGCTGAAGCGCCCAAGATAGGTGCTACAACGCCCGGTTCTGCCGAAATGGCAAACTGTACATCTTTTAGTGTTTTTAGTATAACTTTTGCATCCGATGTCCGAATGAGATGATTCAAGATGCATTGGAAAGCTAACTCGAAGGGCTACAACTTTTATTCAGGTATCATTCCTCAAATTGATCATTTTCTATGATAAAAATGGATCTCAATATGAGGCTGAAACTGCGAAGCATAACTTTTCGGTTGGAAATTGATTTGTGATCATATTTTGACTAAATTTGATCCCTTTAACACCTTTTTTTATCCAATTGACTCCTAGCACTCTCGGATCTTCATTGCGAGGTTCAACACAATTTTTCAATATTTGCACTTTAGTCCCCGAACTTTGGATCTCTTACAATTTAGCCATTTTCTCCAATTTTGCCAATTTCTGCTTATTTCTTTCAATTTCATCAACCTACATCACAACATCAAGACACACATTAAAAAGCTCGAAAACACTCTCAAGGGTAGCAAAATAACAAACTATGTGGCATAATATCATGAATATAGAGCACTCATCAAAAGGAAAATGAAGCTGCACTGAATAGAAAGACTTGGCAAAAATACTCATTTCCCTTACATCGATCGTCGAACCAATAGACGGGTATCAAACATCCAAAAAGTGCAAGCCGAAAAGAAATACCTTCTTCAAGAAAAATGGACAAAGCGAACGGCACTATGGTTAAGCAAATGTCTTATCCTTTTACAGGTTACACAAATGAAATGAAACAAAATGGGTAACACCTGACACAATTTAAAAAAAAAAGGGCATGTTGACTGTTAAGGGAATATAATTTCACATCGGTAAAAATACCGAAATAATGACTAATATATAAAGGATTGGGACACTCCTCTTAATAAAGTTGATCTTATTAAGATGGACCCCAAATCTTAACATGGTATCAGAGCCCATTAAACTCCAACGAGCGATTCGATCCGATTAAGTCTCTAAAAATGAGTACACGAATTTCAAGATTGTTCTGCTCAAATGAGCCACCATCTTGCGGGGGCATGTTAAGGGAATATAATTTCACATCGGTAAAAATACCGAAATAATGACAAATATATAAAGGATTGGGACACTCCTCTTAATAAGGTTGATCTTATTAAGATAGACCCCAAATCTTAACTTCCGCCATGACTTCTCCGGTTGTCTCTCACCCCACTGGTGGTCAAACTTCTGAACAACATTTAATCTCTATAAACACTAGCCAATTACAGCGCCTCACCACCTCCAGCTACCCAACCTGGCGTGCTACTTTCTCTTCCCTCCTCTTTGGGTACGATATTATGGGGTATCTTGATGGAACCCTCTCATGTCCAGCTATACCCACCAAAACCACTTCGGCAAATGATGTTGCTGCCTATACTCGCTGGTTTAGACAGGATCAGCTTCTCTTGAATTCCATCTTGGCTTCTGTTTCGGAACAAATTACTCCTCTTATTGCTTCAGCAGAAACCTCCCGTGACGCTTGGGACAAGCTTTCTCGCTTATATGCCAACAAGTCACGAACACGCGTCATGCAACTTAAAGAGGCACTCACTCTCATGCAACGTGGTGACAAACCCATTACTGACTATCTCCACAGTATCAAATGCATTGTGGATGAATTGGCTCTCATTGATACTCCTCTATCTAATGATGATATTACACTCTATGTCTTGCATGGACTAGGTCCTGATTATCGTGACATTGTTGCTCCTATCCGCACTCGCACCACTTCTTTGACATTCGAAGAATTGCACGACATGTTAGTTGGTCATGAAACATATCTCAAGCGCCTTGAATCTGCCACCAATACGCTGATTGTTACAGCGAACCCAGCAACACATGGCAATTGCTCCTATCGTGGCCATCGCAAAAAATTCACTCGTGGCACTTCATCGAGTCAGACCCGACTCCACTCATCCCGTGATGGTTTTCGCAAGCCCAAGTGCCAATATTATGATACTCTTGGCCACACTGCTAAATCTTGTCCAAAGCTATCTACCTCGACCTCTGGTGCGGCCAACTTCGTTGGTAAGTCACTTGCTAAAGAGAAGAAATGGTTGGTTGACTCTGGTGCTTCTCACAACATCACATCTGATTTGTCTAACCTCTCCATCCACTCTGAGTATGATGGCACTGATGAAGTAGTAATTGGTGATGGTAAAGGTTTATCAGTTACTCATGTTGGCTCTCTTGGCCTATCTTATCTCTTGTGTTCATTTCATATTACCAATACTTTATGTGTTCCTGAAATGCATAAGAATCTCATATCTGTGCATCATTTTACCAAGTCCAATAATGTACTAATTGAATTTCATCCTGATTATTTTTTTGTGAAGGATCGGACCACGGGGGCGATACTGCTACGCGGTGATTGTGAAAATGGTGTCTATCCTCTTCCGCCTCTAGCCAAAACACAGTCATCAATTATTGCCAATTTGGGTGAGCGTACCTCCATCGACACTTGGCATCGTCGTTTGGGTCATCCTGCTCAAAAAATTGTTTCTCACATTGTTAAACAATTTTCACTTCCTTTACGTAATTCTGTTCCACCGAATCATTGTACCTCATGTCGTCTCAATAAAAGTCATAAATTACCTTTTGGTACTAGCTCCATTGTAAGTCATAATCCTCTTGAATATATTTTTTTCGATGTTTGGGGTCCCACACAAATTCAATCCTCTGATGGATATCGCTATTATGTAATCTTTATTGACCACTATACTCGCTACTGTTGGTTTTTTCCCATGCACCAAAAATCTGATGTCTATCAAATTTTCACTCACCTAAAACCTGTGTTGGAAAAGCAATTTGATCATCCAATTAAAAATTTCTACTCAGATAATGGTGGTGAATATATCAAGTTAAAGACATATTTTCTAAATCATGGGATCAGCCACCTTACCACTCCACCTCACACACCCCAACATAATGGCATCTCAGAGAGACGACATCGACATATTGTTGAAACCGGAATGACCCTCCTTACGCAAGTTGCCTTACCCACTACATATTGGCCTTATGCTTTTCAAACAGCTGTGTACCTCATCCATAGACTCCCATCCCTAGCCCTAAAATATAGTTCACCTTATGAACGTTTGTTTGGGACATCACCAAATTATCTCAAATTATGGACATTTGGTTGCTTATGTTTTCCTTGGCT